ATCAAAAGCAATTCCCAAGATCTTGAAAGGTAAGCCTCTCCTGCCAGCTTTAAAATCATTCATCTGGATCTGTTTCAAAGAGAAAGGATGGAAGGGAATGTTCAGCACTGAAACAGTGAGGGGAACAATCGAGGAAAACAGTTTTTTGGGTAGAAGGAAGAAAGTATTCTGGAAACGTCACCAAGAGGTCCTGGCTGCCGGGTTTGCTCTGACATGGATGGCAGGCTTTGTCAGAGTGGGTTTGCTTTCACCAAGATGCAGCAACATCTTTAGTGTGGCTGCTGCCCCACCAGCCTGCATCCAATGGAGAAGAGATCCCACACCCTGGGGGAAATTTCTGCAAGTGTTTCAAACCAAGCCTGCTTTGTCTTCTAACAATGGGTGGTCGATGGTCAATGGTCGGCCTGGCCTGGAAGAATAAGAGGAAGGGGAGGGAGTTGGACAGACGATGAAACCGAGAAGGGAGGGCATCTGTTCAGCAGAGGGACTGACCCCCAAATAACTGGGTGACACAGGGAGAGAATGGGGAGAAATACCAGGAAACACAAAAGCTCTCGACCATCCTGGCTGCCTGCCCTCCTCTGGCCCCTCTCAGGTGAATACTCTACAAATGACTGCCTCCAGATGTGGCATGACCAGGTTGGAGGACAGTCTGATGGTCGCTTTCCTGATTTTGGAAGCTCTGCCTCTCTTAATGCTGCCTAACATCTCCATCATTTGGGTGGCCACAACCAAGAAGCACCAAGCTAAAAATGTTCTGGTTTATGCTACGATCCCAGTAAAAAATCAACAGGGGTCATTCCCTTCCAGCCCTCCTCCTTTGATACGTTTTGGTCCTAAATACCACACAGACTCATTTTGTAGCATTATCTCCACACCTGTGTCTTTCCACAGCAAGATGAAAAACTGGAGCAAAGCTTGATTCGCACTGAAGCACCGGCCAAGAGGATCTCCCAACAGAGCTCACCAGCCCTCAGACAGAGCAGAGCAAAGCCTCGGCCTCCGGGCGGAAACGCCACTGCCTGACACAGGCCGAGGCCAATGCTCATCCCAGCCAACAGGAACGATACCTTCCGAGGAAACAACTTCCACGAGGAGGAGAAAGAACAAATCTCCCCGATATGTCACTATTAGAGACCCTTCCAAATCGAGAAAGAACGCTGATGCTGGCCTATACTGAAGCAACATTTTCCCCCCCTCAAAGTGAATTTTTCTTCTTTACAATGTCTCCTTTGACAATGGAGAAGCACACACCAGAATCGTCCAGTGGCCACCTAGACCAACCACCAACCCCAGCACCAAAGGAACGGCCTCTGCTGCGAGACCCCCGAGGACGAGGAGCCGACTACCTCCCAAGACAGCCCCCTCCCCTTCTGGACAGCGTCCCGACGACGTTCAGGCTCAACGTCCACTCACCGCTCCTGGTTCTGCTCCGCCCTCGCACGCTCCACAGCCCTACAGATCCTTGAACACAGCGCTCACATGCTCCTAAACACGCGTGACCCAGTTACCCCCCTCTGAACACTCCCCAGCTTTCCAAGGTTTCTCTTAAACTGCAGTGCCCCCGAGGAAATGGTCCAGGTGCGGCCTGAGCGGGGCACAGGACAGAGGGCCTGTCACCTCCCTATGCCTGGAAACTCTGTCCCTCCTCAGGCGGGCACATCCCACTGCTGACTGATTCTGAGCTGGCAGTTCCTCCAGACCCCTAGAGCCTTTCGGAACAGCACCCCCAGTTTCATATAGCGAATTGACTTGTGCACCCAAGCAGAAGACTTGATGTTCATCCCTGACGAACTGCATGTTACTAGATTCAGTCCAATGGTCTTGCCTGTTGGGATCCTTCCCCCCAAACCCACGGCTTAAGTCACTTGGGATCGTCCCATTTCCTAAGCTTCCACCAAGAATGACGACCTCAGGGAGGTCGTGGGGCCACTGAGTCAGAAAGCCTTCAGAGGAGAGACTTTGTTCTACACCCTACGGCCTCAAGAGCTAGGAGATACCTTCCATATCACCTAGTGTAAACCCTCAAGTTTTACAGATAAGGAAACTCAGGCTTCACAAGGCCACTTTCTGAGGCTCAGTGACTTGCTTAAGGTCACACGGGGAATGAAGTTGGGAGAGCCAGGATCTGATTCATGGCCTAAATCTCAAAAACCAGCATACTGATGACTATCCCACGGTCACCTTTCTTAAAGCAGCTTGCCTTCTGACAGGCACGCATTTCAGAAAAGAGGAAACCTTGCTCCCCAAGACACAAGCATGTTATTTTAACATCTAAAAAAAGCGAATTTATTTCCTTCCTTTAAATTACAAAGAACCTGGTTGATTTTTGTGAAATGAGGATGCCATTTCCTTCTCCAGGCATCCGGTGCTATCCTCTCTCCATGGGCCCTCTGGCCAAGATCTCCTTTAAGAGCTCCAGAGCTTCTACCCTCTCCACCTGCAGTTACAAGTGGCTGGGCTCTCTGGAGGCTGAAGAGGTGCTGTTGGGAGCTGGATGGCCTCCGACATGTCACACCCTTCCAACTCAGGGCAGCGCCTTCTGGTGCCCAGCATCTGTGAGAGGCCCGAGACCACGTGTTAGAAAGTCACTTAAAAAAAGAAAACAAGACAAATTCTAGGCCCTCTCCAGATAGGCTGCTGCTCTGAAGGAGATGTTCAGCATTTATCTGTTAGGCCCAAGTGGAGGCTGTGACCTATCTGTATCTGTTGAACACTGGAAGTGAGCATGGTCTGGCAGGTAGCAGGCCAAGTTTGGAGTTGGGAGATGATCTGGATTTAGTCTGTCTCTGATTCTCACTTCCTGGGTGACTTGCTGGCTGGTCCCTTACCTTCCCAGAGCCTGTTTGTTCATCTGTAAAATGGGGGTAGTAATACTTCCAGCACACCACGTATCACAGGGTTTTGTGGGCAAAGTGCTTTGCACACTTTAAAGTGCTATACAAATGAGTTAGCGTTAAAGAAATGAATAAAAAAAACCCAGCAATGTCTAAAGGCTTCATTAGAGTGCTGGGTTTGGAATCAGGAAGACTTTTCTTCACGAGTTCAAATTTGGCTTCAGATTCTTCCTAGCTATGTGACCCTGGGCAAGTCATTTCATCCTGTGTGCCTCAGTTTCCTCATCTGTAAAATGAGCTGGAGAAGGAAATGGCAAACCACTGTAATATCTTTGCCAAGAAAACCCCAGATGGGGTCACGGGGAGTTGGCTTCGTGTTGATAAATTAAAAGCTTCCAGCAGTCATCTCAATTTGCTTTATAGAAAGTAAGAGTTGATATTTGCTGCTAAATGTGGTGGGGCTTTCTGCTAAAGATGAAGGACAATTATGATTTAGCAGTGAGAGTGATAAAAATGGCGAGCCTACAGGATAGGACTAATTACAGAAGGAGACCTGAAGCAGGTCTACGCTAAGTTCTCCATGATTCGGCCACTTTCTGAGCGACATTGTTCAGGGTCGACACCAAAACGCGGTGAATGGGTAATAATTAACAAAACTCCTCAAGCACTTTTAAATGGAGGAGCACACAGGTCCCCGGTATTTATTTATACAGGTCCTTTTTCTACGTACTTTCATATATGTGGTTTTCTTCTGAAAATTTCTTAGGGAATCTGTAGACTCAATGTCACTTATGTGCAAAAGAGCAGTGTAAATAGGGTCGGCACCTTAGCTACATTTCAACTATACTACTGATAAAAAAAATTGGAAATGTTATTGAAGATAGTGCATCTAGAATGGAGAGGACTAAAGCAAGTTAGATGGTAACAAAGTCCTGCCAACAGAGAAGGATGAATTCTGTATCTTGTAGTCTGAGTCAAAGACACAGGGATCCAGTCAGGGGACAGATCCTGGGGATAGACCACGTATTCTCCTCCAGCCTGATGCCCCCCCATCCCCCATATAATAAGGGTGGGGCTGGAGGGGGGGGTTGTTCCAGTACCAAAGGACCAGAGCAGCACCTGGTCAGCGTCCCTGCTTCACACGCAGGTCGTCCCTCCCTCCCTGCCATCCTTTCCTTGGCGTCTCCCTACAGTCCATACACTGGGCTGCATTCTGTGTCCCTTCAGCCCTTGTTTTCTCCTTTGCATATTCAAGTAATGAATAAATACACTTCAAAAAGGGTGCAATCATTTTGTTCTGGCAGTGACAAAAGGGTAGCAGAATTTTCTGAATTTTGTTGAATTACATAGATATGAAGCCCAGTCAAAAACTCTCTGGTTTATTTGGGATCGTGAAATGATTTTATCCTGCCAAATACTCACAGTTTTTTTGGCATATAAAGACAGACTTGGAACAGTATGGGGAACTACAGCAAACCCTCATTTATAAAGCTAGTAAAGGGTTTTAAAACTGTGTTTCCTATGAAAGATATGTAGAGATTAAGTTTAAAAAAACTCACTAAAAACTGTTCTTAGAAAACCACCAAGTTCCTTTTCCAAATTCCAAAAGGAGTCCTATTCCCCCCCCACAAATTACAAATGAACTACCAAAGAACTTTAAAGATGGCAAATAATATATGCATGACCTTTAGTGACATAAAGCTATTTTTGAAAACTAAGTATCTCTAAGGTTTTCTTCCCTCATCTTTGAACTGTGCAGCTCAGCTAAATTGATTGTTTCACTGAAAAATTTGCAAAACTACAATATAAACACATAGAAATATAGTTTAAAATAGTATGCCTATTCATAAATATGTACTTCTATACACACACATATGACAAACGTAGGCATGTAGCGCCCCTTTGATCAAAAGCCAGGAAGAAACGCTGTTTCTCTCTTGGAAGCGCACACCGCTGAGCGGTCACACTCACCTCATTTTTCAGCTGTACATCTCACACAGAAATCAGAATGGAAGGGGGCCCCGGGGTATCCCCAGCACTGGGACTTGAAGCAAGGTCCAACGCGGGTCAATCTGGAAACAGTCTGGAATGACTGTGGCCAATCTCAGCTGTGCTTTTGCACTTCCCGAATGGGACCACTCAGTTCTTCAGCCGACTGGGTCTCTATTTTCTGACTTCACCGACAAACCTTAAGGTTCTAATACAGCACAGCGTATCTTTCCGGCGGCAATCCCCTCCAGATACAATCAATAGGAACACCGTCAGAGACTTTGCCTTTTCACCAGAAGGGGAAAGAAGGACGATCTGACTTGGAATGACCATCAACGCTAGAGAAATCCACCAAAAGTAAGTGGGAGAATCCTTAATGAGCAAGGCTATGATACTAAACCAAGTAAGAGTCTGGTTTTATTGGTTCTGAGCCTTTAGGAATACAGATATTACACCTACTTTAAAATTCAGTATAAATAGTTTTGAGATTTGTTTGTCATTTCCTTTTGTTTCTGACCTTCTCTAAGACACCGATTCACCGGGCGCAAGTGGTTACAACAGTGCTAAGAAAACATCGACATGCAGAAGAACACTCAGCATAGATACCGCCTAGATAGTTCTACCAAAGCACATTCCATCCATCAGGCAGCAGCAACGTACACGTTATATACAAAAGGTAAAGTGCATCATCATTATTAAATCGCTAAATCAGTGAAAGGGCAGACTGACGCTTCTGCCTGGACCACACAGGTGTAAAATAGAGGTGGGGCTTGAATGTGACATTTTCCCAAAGAACCAATTATTTCAAGAGGTTCAACTACTCGTGTCCACCCTGTCCTAGCTTGGATTTCATTTTTTGGCCACGTTCTTTAGTGCAAATATGCTTGTGTTTCACTCAAGTTTAAGGGACATAGACATTATTGGGGTTTAAACAATGAAAACGATTTGCAAACACAGCTGCAGTTGAGGCCCCCAGGATATGGCAACGCTGCTGCCACGCCAGAGGTGTGGAGGAACCGTTTTCAAATCTAACCCTATAAGCTCACGCTCTTACATTTGGATTTTTTCTCCTTGGATTCCAATGTGCAAATATCAAGTGCTTTCAGACTGCACAGAGAACAAGTGGTTTTGGTTTTGAAAAAGAGCAAATGCAGCAGGTTCCAAACAGAAATGCGCATTTGTGCCCTCGGAAACCCAGGCACCTTCAGCACTGAGTGTCTTCAAGGCAGGGGTTCCCCTTCTTTGTACAACTCCACGTCAAAATGAGAAGTGACAACACGCCAACGTAATAGCCCATTTTAGGAGACACCTGGCAATAGGCAGGTGCCTTGGCATTGCAATTCTGAGTTGAATTTTATCAGCCTATGGCTAGTGACTTCCCGGGTACGTTTCTTATAAAAAGACCATTTCCCTTCATTTTTCAAAGAAATATAAATTACGGGAAAAAGAAATAAGGGGATTAAATAGTTACACATATTATTTAGTTTACAAACTATTCAGTAGGTTGGCTATAACTAGATCATGACAGTTGAAACTCATCAGTCCAACTGAAAGCTCTCAGATGACTTTTCTCCTTGTATAGGATGTATCCGTGCTGGAATGTTATTTGCTCAACTAATCCATTATATAATTACCCTAATGAAAAACCTGGTGCAAAATGACACCAGCCCGAACACTGAGTACAGGCATTTGCATTGATGCACACAGACTTCCTCTGTCTCAGGGAAGTCCTGCCTATCGACTGACGCCACACGCTTTAGACTGGAACACTGAGACAGACAGCGTTAGGCCGGATCGCCCACCAGGTCGGGCCGCTGGTGGGGGCTGCAATCTGACAAGGCAGTCGTCCCGGCCGCCTGGTGCCTCGCGTAGCCAGGGGTCCAAGCGTACAGCGCTGGACTTTAGGCAAAGCCACGCGATCTTTCTACTCACATCTGCGGCTTCTTGAAAAAGGCCTCGCTCCCTGTGGTGCCTTGACCGCCACCGTGGATACCGGAGCTCAAGGCGCTACTGTTCCCTTCTAATCGTCAGCAGCTTCAAAGAGATCCCGACGGTCCAGCGACACGCACCGAGCTCCCGAAGGTCCCTTCGCAACAGACTGTACTGTCCCCGAGCCCCAGCGCCCCAAAGCACGGCCGGGTCACCGAAAAGAGCCGTCGCCCTCTTGATTCTCCTGCTTCCATCAGAACCGTGATAATTTCTGATCACACTTACTGAAGGGTATTCTGGGGCAACTTTAGTGCAAAACTTTCTTTGTTAAAATATTTCAGAGTTTTAAAAACCACGTCTGCTAAAGGCCACGTCCTGTCTTCAATCCTAGCAACCGGCTCTCACAGAGACCAGGGAGAGCTGATTCTGGGGATTGAAATCAGTGTTTGGCTTTTAGACAGATGATGTGGCGGCAGAGTAAAGCCAAAGAGAAGGCCAATCATTTCACTCACAAGAACACGCAGCTGGAGAGATGAAATTTCATTCAATTAAAAGAAAGTTGGTTGAGGCACACATGTACCATGTGCTCACATGTTGGAAAAAACCAATTAGGCGATGAAAAATTGCTGGGGCTTTCTCGAAATTAATGTTAAAAATCGATAAAAGGGTAGATCTTCCATAAAGAAAACCTTTTAAAGGGTTACAAAAAGCACCTTAATTTTTGCTCTGCAGTGTGCCTACAACCAAGCTTCAAATAATTAAATAATTCTCTCACCGTGGCACAGTCTGGGGAAACCCTTTGTCTGGACGTAGCCAGCCTGTACATGACACGTTTCTGTTGGAAGTGTTGAGACTGCCTCATCAGCTGAATCACAAAGGTGCTACTGGAGTCCGTTATCACGGATGGATTTCTGCATCTAGCTGCTAAGCGGTTCGCCCAACCCTTAACTACTCTTTCCAAGGAGAAGCCTAAAAAGGATGCTTTCATTGGCTACTCTGAAACCATCAGCGAGCTACCATCTGAGAAAAAAAGCCTTACCCCCCCAGGGGGTCAGCAGAAAACGCTCAGTGCCTACATACCCACCACAAAGCCACGAGGTAGAGTATCACCCTAGCCCCAACAGGGACATAAAAATAGTTTTTGAAATTTGGAAAACCATTAAAAACATCCACCTCATCTTCCACGGTCCCCAGAGAAGGGCACACTCCGAAGACATCGATCTCCACCAGCTGGGGACCACACTCTCCCCCTCCCTCGGGGCTCTGTGGTGGTGCAGGTCAAGGGCACGGTGAACCCAGGACGCTATCACAGAATCCTCTGGCCTTCTAACTCATCCAACTGTATGCCAACAAGCTTCCTAAAGAGCTGGGTGGCTCACAAGCTTTCTACCCTTGTGCAGGACGAGCATTTCAGCCTCAGTAGCCAATGCAACGTTTCAGGATTTCTACGTTTGCTTGTAAGCATCGATGCAGACTACGGACAGTCCAGTTTTATTCTGGTGGCAGATTCCCTACAATTTCACCTAGCAGCTTTTTTCTAAATTCTCCTTTTGGGAAACCTGTCAGGTAGAAAGCCCAGCCTTCCACAGCAGGCTCAAGGGTCTTCTTGGGTTTGGGTAATAGTGCAATCAACGTAAGCCTCTCTAATCTAAAGGTCAGACCGTCACCACTGTGCTGACCTGCCTGGGGCAAGAGTCTTGAGTGCTCAGAGCTTTAGGAAGGCCGGAATGCCCCCATGACCTCCCTGGGGGGCTTCTACCGGGTTCTACGCAGTGTTACTAGGACAACCAGATTCCTGAAAGCGGAAGGACAGGACGTGTAATGGGCAAGGGGGGACCCCAACGGAAGGAACGCTTCTCCAGATCACGACAGACGGAGGACAGACAGACAGTCCGCTGGTCCTCTAGTCGAGGCCTTCTTGCTCTTCGCCACTGTCCCTTCTGACATCCATTCTCTGCTCTTTATGGCTGCCGCAGATCCTCCTCATCTCCTCTTCGTACTTGATAAAATTCTCCCCAAACCGTGTCCACGCTTTGTACGGAACAGTAACGGTGTTACGGTAAGGGGGTCTCACCTCACTTACCTTCAGGAAAACGCCGTAGCGGTTGGAGCCCACATCAAAGTAGAACCTCTTGTTGTCCACCCTGAAAGACGTGCCCTCGGGGAGTTCCAGCGGCTCCTCCTCCCCTCCCCTCTGCTGTTCCTCCAGGTCGCCCTCACCGTAGTCTTCGATGAGCTGCACCAAGGCATCCCTGAACTCAATCATTCCCTGGGCCGGGAGGACGATCGTCTGTTCTTGGCCCAACGTGTGCCCAAAGTAACCCATCCCTCCGGGGCCCCGGGTCAGAGTCTGCCTGATCCGGAGGAAACGGCCCCGCTGGTTTTCCTTCAGGTCCAGAAAGTACTTCCGGTGATCTCTTTCGATGCAGTCGGTCTTGAGCACGCTGTGCGGGTGCTCCTCCGACACCACAGAGGCCGGGGGGGACGGGGCGGAGGACCGCGGGCGCCTCCGGGCATCGTGGTCTCCGGCGTGGCCCTGCTCCAGCCGGTGGGCTTTCAGGCCCAGGTGGGCGTAGTGCTCAATGAAGTCTCCCAGGCACTCCTTCAGCTCCGCCGCCACAGACAGCGAGAGGGTCAGCTTGCTCTTGCGGATGTTGTCCTGCCGGCCCCGCCCTATCCAGACCTCTGCGATCTTCAGGAACCTGCCGCGGGGACTCTGCTTGACATCCAGGTAGAATCTCTTCCGCTGGATGTCCACCCGCTTGGAGGCCAGCTCCTGGATCTCCACGGCGGCCCCGGTCTGGCAGACGGCAGTGCCGGCGGGTGGGGGGTAGTGTGGACACACGGACTGCTGGGCCCGGGCGTAGAGGCCGCTTCTGCTGACGCCGGAGCCCCCTCCTGCATTCCTGCCTCCTCCACCTCCTCTCCCTGCTCGTTCCATCTTTAGCTGCAAGAGACAGAGAAAGCAAAACCTTGGGATGAGAAAACACTTCTCCAGTCTTCATGCTCCTCCATTCTTCCTGGGCTCTCCAGGCCCAGCATCCCCTCCACACTGCTCCCACTCTGGGGCAAACCCTCATCACCTCCCACCCGGACCACTGCAATAGCTGCTGGGGGGAGGGGCCTGATTGCCTTGAGCGTCTCCCCTCTGCGGTCCATTCAGCCACCAAAGGGATCTCCCTTAAGTGCAGGGCCATCCTGTCACGCCGTGCCCTAGTGGCTCGTGCCTCCAGGAGCATTCAAGGCCCCTCGTTACCTAGCCCCCTCCTACCTTCCCAGTCTCCTTACACCTCACTCCTCACAAATACTCTGACCCAGGGACACTGGCCACCTGCCGGCTCCACAAACAAGACCCTCCGTCTCCACCTACCAACCCCATGCTTTTCACTGGCAATCCCCCTGACTTGGAAAGCATGCATGCCAACGGGACGTCTCCAGCCTCCTCGACTCCCACGTCTACAGGAGGGCCCTTTCCCACACATCCCCGAGACCACCCCCAACCTAGCCTGTCTACCTCTCCTGGTTTGCAGGCTTTCTCCGCCATAGGCTGGGAGCTCCTTGAGGGCAGGGACCGGGTTTTTGGGGGGGTGGGTGGGGTCTTTTCTTTGTATCTCTACTACTCAGCACAATGACTGGCACACATAGGTAGCCCAGGGGATACAGCCCTCGGCCCCGAGTCAGGAAGACCTGAGTTCAAAACCAGCCTCAGCACTCAGTAACTACGTGACCTTAGGCAAGTCACCCCACTGCTCCCCGTGCCTCAGTTTTCCCATCCGTAAAATGGGAGTAACAATGCCCAACTGGCTCTAATAAACAACCTAATGAATGAGTCTTGGCTGGACTCCCGCTCCCGGAGGCCAGCTGCCAGGAACTCTGACCCTTTCTCTCATTGGCCCGCCCCTCCCCTCAAAGCCCCGCCCTCTCCTCTCATTGGCTATATCCATCCAGACCAGCGCCACAATTCCTATCATTGGCCCTTCCCCCAACCATGGCCCACCCACTTTCATCATGGCCCCACCCTTTCCCCTTATTGGTCATCTCCCCCTACAACAGCCCCGCCCTTCAGCCTTATTGGCCTATCCCTATCCCACCTCTTTCCCTCATGGCCCTTCCCCCATTGGCCACACCCACCCAGTCCCGTCCTGTTCTTCGGTCCTCCCCACCCCTCCCTGGCCCCACCCAACCTAGCCCCTCCCTCCCCCCTCATTGGCCCTCCCATCACCGCCCCGCCCCCTAGCCGACCACACCCACTGGTCCAGGCCCCGCCCCTTCCCTCCCCGCTGGCTCCTTCCCCCCTCCCCCCCTCCGCGCAGGTCACTCACGTCCGCGCTGCCGCCATGCCCTCGTCTGTGCGGATGCCCTTGGCCGCCGCCGCTCCTCCGTCCCCGGGCGCGAGCATCCCTGGCTGCCGTTCTGCCTCCTCCTCTGGGATGCAGGGATGTCGGGCGGGCCCCGGAACCGCCTCAGCCCCGGAGGGAGGGAGGGCGGGCGGGAGCGCGCACGAAGCCTGGCGCTGGAGCGCGCACGCCTGCGTTCGGGGGCGGGCGGCTGCGGCCGTGGGCGGGGGATTGCGTGTGACGTGGGGGGCGGGCGAGGCCGCCACGCTCGGGTGCGGAGCATGCGCATGGCGTCGAGCGCCTACGCTACGCGCGCACGTGTGCGTGTGACGCGACGGCCAGGGAGCCCGTGCGGCTCGCGCAGGCTCGTGACGTCAGGCGGCGGCTGTGTCGGGGGAAGAGGCGAGGGGAGGCGCGTGCGGGCGAGTGGGCGCGTGCGTGTAAGGTCAGGATGGAGGTCAGGGGGCGGTGCTAGAGGGAATCCCGGGGTGACGTCGGTAGTTCCGTGCTCAGGGCCCGCTAGAGCGGGAGGAGGACGAGTCACGAGCCCGCCGAGGTAGGGCTCCCCGTGGCCCGCGGCCCAGGTGACGTCATCCGTGCGCGACGCGGGCGCCCGAGGGCCGGGCCGGGCCGGGCCCCTCCCCCGCCACGTTCCCTGGCCGGGAGCCGGACTCCCGCGCGTTTTCGGCTCGCCGGGCTCCGAGAGGGATCTCCCCGCGAAGAGGCCGGCGAGGTGCGTGGCCGCGGCGCTTCCCTGCCCCGCGGGCGTGGGAGGCCGAGGAAGTCGTGGTCCCTGTGCCTTTGGGGACAGGCCGCGCCCGCCGTGACCCCGGGCTGCGGGATTGGGGGGGGGCTGCCGGGCCGGGGTCTGCCACGACCCCATCTGGGGGATCTGTTGGGTTTGGCGGTCCCTTCTCCGGCCGAGGCGCCCGGGGTGAAGTCCCGCGGCTGCTGAGTGCGTGAGGCTGGCTCCGGCCTCCTCCGGCCTCCAGGCCGGGCGGACGCGGGCGCCCCGGCTCGTGATCCTCCGGTCCCCCCCGGCTGGTGATCCTCCCGG